CTTTTAATTTGGCTGCCAAAGTGAAAGCCAGCCAAGCACTTATCGCTAGGCTTTATCTCAACCTGCTAATTAGCGTGAATGCTGTATGCCCCGCTTTCAGTAGGAGTTTGCCTCAACATAATTGTTGCATTATGGACTTAAAAAAACCCAAAACCAACAAGAAATACAAACAAACAAACAAAATCCACCCCCTGCCCCAAATTCCCCTACACGCACATGGAGAAGCCACCTTAAATCCTGGGTAGGCAATCCAGCATCTCGCTGGGTTTTCCCAATGACAGCCTACATGTACAGGAAAAAGCAAGACCCCTGCAGCATAAATCCCCATGCCAGGAAAGCAATCCCACGGCATGGGATGGGGCTGCACCTCGCACCACGTATCAGGTGAGGTGAGGCAGCTGCGGGGTCACAAATAACCTGCCAGCCCTGCAGCCTCCTCCCAGCATCTCCCACCCCATCCTGAGATTGAGATCCCTGCAGGCAGGGCTCACCTCCAAGCCAGCCTCGCTGCCCTTTGCTCACTTGCAAAGGCATATTTGGATCATCTGAACTTGTCCTGCGTGGGTATCACAGTCACAGCAGCAGCTTTGGCCCCACGCTCCTGAACAACGTGCTCACATCCTCCAGCGTGCCCAGCCTGGGCAGCCCACGGAGGAGGGATCGCACCCTCCTGGGACTCTTCAGCTAGAAGCTCCTCTGACAAGTTACCTGGGAACCCCAAGAAAACAGAGGGAGCACTGAGGCCAGGGGACTTTCCATGCCCTGTACCAAGAAGAGGATGACAAATTTGGGTTCTTGCCCCTGCTTTTATTTCTGACTTCCCAGTGGACCCTGAAGGCATCGCAAAACCTCTCCGTACCTTCATCCTCCCGCTTTGCACCGCTAGGTCGGGAAGCAGAGGCTGTCCCTGGAAAAGTTGTTAATGGTTGTAATGTCCTTCAACCCCCCCAGGAGTGGCTGCAATGCTCGCCGGCCACCCGTGGGGGCCGGCCCCCCCCCGCCGTTCATCCTCACCCCGGGGCTGCCCTGCAAACTCGTCTGGTGCCGGGTTATCCTGCCTCCTCTGGGGAAGGCTCCGGAAACAAGGGTCGAACCCTGGCGCTCTGCTTTTAGCTCTTAATTAGCTCTTAATTACCCACTGGCTGTTCAAGGGCAGGCGCTGATCCTCCCCCTAGGAGAAGGGCCACATCCCAGGTTGCATTTTCCCAGTGGTGCTGGCAGGGCAGGAGCCATCTGGCCCCGAGCTGCCTGGCATGTCTCGCGTGCCATGCCAGCAGCCTGCATTAGCTCTGCTCCAGCTCTCCAAGGGCAAGAGGCTCCATCGCAACACCAACAGCTGCCTCCTAATCCCATCTCCGAGCTCCAGCTCCTTTCAGCTGGCACCATCTGCCCACAAAGGGATATAACCCAGTTCATGCTTGGCCATTCATAAATCCACCTGGGCACCCCAGTTTCTGAGGATCTCCACCGTTTGCTCCCCAAACCTCTTCCCTCAACTAGCTTGGTAAACAGCAGGTGGAGATGAAGACATGGGTCCAGCAAGGATGACTCTACCATGCATCAAAAGAAGGGAGCTCCCACGCACTGGGACGTCGCTGTGTTGGACCCTCTTGCCAAGCTCCCTTGTGTTGAGCCAACACTGCTCGGATCTGTTGGGAGAGCTGGAGTTTTCCAGCAAAACGAGTGCCCTGTGCTTGAGGAGTCGGACGACAACCAGAGCCAAACCCATCCTTTTGCTCTACACGTGACACATTTCCATGGCTTTAATGGGAGCCTGATCTAGGTGCTGCTGAGCAAAAAATGCGGCACATGAGAAGGACCTAACCTGGCTACTGAGCACTGGTGGTTAAAAAAGCGCTAAGGACATCAGCGCTATGGAGCTAGACCTGGTGCTATGAGCCACATTTCAGTAAGTAACTGGAGTTTCATGAATGAGACCTTTTGGTAATAGGCCTTGAAATATTTCATCTGTTCTCAGTGCACTTGCTGAACACTTGTGCACAGTTAAACGCAACATGGGCACTGGGATATTTTGCATCTTCACTCCAAAACCGGAAAAATCTCTTGGGAAGTCTTCACCCCCCCAGCTGGTGGGAGGGATGTCTCGGTCTCCCCGGCTGATGTTATGACCATCTCTGACATGGGGGTTGTTACACGGAGCTGAAGAAATAAGCAGCGATTAAAAAAAGAAAAGAAAAAAAAAAAGCCGGTCTGTCCTTTCTTTTTGAAACAAAGAACAAACTCTCTAGAAATGCTAAGAAATTATGCCTTTACCTCCCTCTTAATTATCTAAATGGAAATAAGGAAGAGCTAGGGCTTATTTGCCATCGCATCCCTGGCTGTGCTGAGCCCCAGCACTCCTCTGCCCCAGACCCGGTGAGGACCAGGACATCACCGGGTAACATAGCAGGTTTCATTCGTAGTTGCTCGGTGTCTGAAGCCGTGGTGTAAACGCAGACACAGCCCCATGGTCCGGGAGTCATATTGCCTTCACGTTATAATTTGGCAGCTCCAAAGGTCAAGCCGTTTCTAGAAATAGCCCCAACCAGCAACCGAAGGGCTCTGCTCCCGCAGGTCGCCGGAGGCAGGAGCAAGCGGTTCTGCAAGGACAGGGCACAACGACCAGCAATTAGCCCAGAGAGAGCCCCAGGGATGAGATGGCGCTTACGGGCTGCACCTGCACACGTGGGTTGAGAGGAGCAGGAGGGAAGCGCGAGCCAAGCAGTCACTGGCGAGCAGGCTTTTCGGCCCCCACGTCCCCCACCTCTCTCCCCTTGGCCCATCGATCCAGCCTGTCCAGGTCCCTCTGCAGAGCCTTCCTACCCTCGAGCAGAAGAGATGCTATGACTTGTATTGCAGCAGAGGTGACATACGAGGTGGGACTCTCATTTTGGAGGGTTTCCTTACGACCATACAGCCCCAAAACCTGCTGGCCTAGCAGCTGGTATTGGTAAAGGAGGGATTTTGCCCCAGATCCCACGCAGGGCATTCAGCCTTAGGGTTGGCACTACCTGATCCAAGGCGTGATTATGAACTGGTGAATTATCTACTGGAAGTAAGCGGAGTCTCTGGCTCACATCCTACTATTGGCATGTACTAAACATTTCTCTTTTCACCATTTGGAAGAGATAAAGGGCTTTAACAAAGCCCCTCCAAAGCACATATAATTAGAATTATACCTGAGCCGCT